AACCGCCCCACGCGGTCAGGCGTGGCACAAGGCCGAATTTAATGTGAGGTAGGCTCTGCCAAAAATGCCCTGTAGACCCTGTATAAAACGGGGTCGGGTAGCTGTTTCCCGAGACTAGACTTCGACATCGCCTCGTCTTGGGATCCTCTCTGCTCGGAGGCAGATAGTTTGACCAGCACAGCTAGAGACGAATCTCCAACTGCAGACCAACATACAGTATTTACTACTGTATTTATGTGAATGGGAACATAGACATTCTTGTCTGTAGGTATGCTGCAACACGTATAAATCATCATTAATCATTAATAAGCATATCAATTCCTCAAATGTTCAAACAGTTTGCTCCCATCATTCACACGCATACCTCTTTACCTGCAAGAGATTTATTATTATTATTTATGAAAAAAGAAAAAATCATAATAAATATATTATAAGAAAAATTTCAAAATGAAAATATTAAAAATGATTTAATGAATTAAATGTATTCTAATATTAAATGAATCCTAGAATCACTCTTAGAATATTGGTAATTCTAGTAAAATACTTACTGTAAAATACTTATTTTTACAAATTTTGTACATTTGTCTATAAATTCAGATATAATTCAAATATGCTTGTAAAAAGACAATATGAATAAAGACAAAAAGAAACCTTTTCTTTACCAACGCATTTCGTCCCCTGCAACAAGTATTTATAAACAGAGGCAAAGTGGAGGAAAATATCGTTGTTTTGAAAATTAAAAAAAAAAAAAATAAGAACACTCTAACATAATCTTAAAACTAAATATGAAATTAAATGTAATCTATGGAGGACGCAAAGTGATGTAATTTAATACCTAATGAACTAAGGTAAGTAACTATTGTTATTATTTTTTTGAATTTTTCATTTTCTTATTTGTTTATATTTCTCATTTTTCTTTATAAAAATCTTTTTACCTTCAACGGAAAATTTTCCAAAAACTGAAAATGATGTGATGTTTCATAAATTGTAGTAATTTTAAATAAAATCTTTTATTGCCATCATTGTTAACTACCTGATGAGACTTTGTTTTATTAAACGTCGAAACAGAATGTACAATTTTGTAGTAGCAACTTTCATGTTCTAATGTAACATTTTATAGTATATATATATATATATAATTATTATTTATTAGTTTATTTTAATTTGATAGGTTATTTATGTATTTATTTCAAATAATAGAATATATATATATATATATATATATATATATATATATATATATATATATATATATTCTTAATAGCTCTTAATACATTTTGTTTATTTTGTTATATCTCCTAAACCCTGTTCCGTCATCTACTTATTCAAATTCCTCGTGTAGTTAATCCGTTGCTTTCCTCTGTCCCTCTTGCCTTCAATCTGTCCTGTGAGCATCAGATTTTCCAAGCCCGCTTTCTTCGTTATGCGCCATAGAAATTTCAACTGTCTCTTTTTGATGTTATGTATAAGTTTCATTTTTGCTTCTTTTTTTTCTTCTTTAAAACTTCGTTGTTGCTCACATGTTCGGTCCATGGCATCCTCAGCATCTTTCTGTAGAACTACATTTCTGGTGTTTCAAGTCTCTTCTACATCTTTGAGGAGATTGTCCAGCACTCACTGTCATATAGGAAAACAGATATCACTTAACTGTTCGGTACCCTTTTCTTTGTTTCTAACAATTTTTTTTCTTCTCTTTTTCGATACTTTGCTTAGCTTTTAGAAGGCATCTTTAGTTATCCCATTGCTCCTTCGGATTTCAGTGTCCCACTTTCCGTCCTCTGTTAAAACACTTCCCTGATATCTAAATTTTTGTAGTTGTCTGATTTTGGCGTCTCCGATTTGTAATTTGGATGTTGGGGTCTTCTTTTTGTTGACAACGATTTTGTCTTCTTATAATTGATGTTTAGTCCTTTCTTCATCCTTTCCTTCATTACCTTCTGTAGGAATTGTTTCAGTTTTCTTTTTTGTGTCTGCCATCAACACTGAATATCTAATATTGTTAATACTGTGGCCACCAATAATGAATCTTAATAGGAATTAGAATTCTCTTACGATCACCTACCTGTAAAGGTTGTACTTGTTTGATTTTGGTATCTCTCATTTGTCCTGCATATATGATCCTGATATATATATATATATATATATATATATATATATTTAAAGACATTTTTATGTTTAACATTCTTTTTATAGATACAAGTATTTTAAGTAAATGCTCTGTTTATAATAAACAGTATTAAATAACATTTACCGGCCTGAATGTCCGAGAAATTTTCATAGAAAATATTCGTCCTTCGACAGGATTCGAATCTGTATCCTATACGGAACCGTCATATAGCCTGACGTACCTTACCGATCGGCCACAAAGGATCGTTCGATTGGCAAGGTCGAATTTACTGCTTATAAACTTCAATTTTCCATGAATCTCTATCGTACATTCATAACTGCTCATGGCGTATCAAATGTAAGCAAATGACGTCACACATTATGAAATGGACAAATATATATATAATAAACAAATATATATATATATATATATATATATATATATATATATATATATATATATATATATATATAACCATCAACTGTCTATTAATTTTCACACAGCAAATATAACTGGGAAAATAAATGGCAGTGTCTTTTGACTCAGTGGAATCGGCGAGCAATAACTGAGCAGTACTAAAATAAGAAGTAGTCGAGTTATCTCCCTTAGATATGGACAGCGTAACGGAAACTGCCTACCCCTGTAGATTAAACAAAGGGTTTCAGTTCGAAATTCTCTGTTGATTACACGGATCGATATACACCCGATGAAGGCTAGAGGGCCCAACGGTTGAAACGTCGTTATAGCAACAACTATGAGACAATAGTCCGCATGTAAATATTCAAATGATGATAACTCCTTATTCCAGAAATTCAAACAGTAAGAAATGGAAAGGCAACAACTTTATGAAGGATGTTTGGAGGGTAAGTAAAAAAAAGCTGGGGGCTTTCCTTCCAGATTCATTGGGAGAGATTGGCAGAGGAGGAGAAGGGTCTTTTTTTTCTCGTCGGGTGGATGCTGCAGATGTAGTATCTATTCCGTAGTGGAGGCCTTCTCTCCTCCCTTGCGTCACCCCATCACCGTTGCGTGACATCTGTTACGTAGCGCTGTTATGAAACTTGTTAACCCATAGCTGGGAGGAGAAGAAGTGGATTCATACCTAATCAGAATTTAATAAACAAACAATAAATTACAATGTGGGGGATCAATTGTATATGACAATCAATATATAAACTGTTCCCTCACTTTGTGGTCACGGTAGTTTCTATACATTTATATTCCAGAGAATGTAAATAAAGTACGGGGATATAAAGTGGGGGATCAGTTATATATTACAATCAATATATAAACTGTTCCCTCACTTTGTGGTCACGGTAGTTTCTATACATTTATATTCCAGAGAATGTAAATAAATTATGGGTATATAAAGTGGGGGATCAGTTATATATTACAATCAATATATAAACTGTTCCCTCACTTTGTGGTCACGGTAGTTTCTATACATTTATATTCCAGAGAATGTAAATAAATTATGGGGATATAAAGTGGGGGATCAGCTATATATTACAATGAATATATAAACTGTTCCCTCACTTTGTGGTCACGGTAGTTTCTATACATTTATATTCCAGAGAATGTAAATAAATTATGGATATAAAGTGGGGATCAGCTATATATTACAATCAATATATAAACTGTTCCTCACTTTGTGGTCACGGTAGTTTCTATACATTTATATTCCAGAGAATGTAAATAAATTATGGGGATATAAAGTGGGGGATCAGTTATATATTACAATCAATATATAAACTGTTCCCTCACTTTGTGGTCACGGTAGTTTCTATACATTTATATTCCAGAGAATGTAAATAAATTATGGGGATATAAAGTGGGGGATCAGTTATATATTACAATCAATATATAAACTGTTCCCTCATTTTGTGGTCACGGTTGTTTCTATACATTTATATTCCTGAGAACGTAAATAAAAAAAATTACCTGTGAAGGTAATCAGTATTTCATTGATTGATTCGTTTTTTACAGTTTATCAATCCTTCTCAGGTTATTTAAAGCTAGAAAATGTTATTAGATTGTGTTATATAAGAATAAAGTGTCGCTGCCAACATTTGAGTTTGAACATAGATCGCCAATGAGCAAACACAGGCGATCCCATTATTGAATTAAGTAGACCACGTGACCATATAGGAAACACATATGTGGGAGGTTGCGTGTGTCTAATTGATCATCATTTCTCGTCTATCTTCTGTTACGATTCGAATATGCATTTGTTGTAGAGTAGTTTCACAGTGGAGGCTTGCATTTCACTAAGTCGGTCCTAAAAAAGGTTCGACGTACAAAACGTTAGGAACTTGAAATAATAGTTAATGACGCAGCAATCTAGTTGTGGTGGTTGATACTTTAATGTCCGACATCGACTGACTCACCAACTCACTGAGCCCCCTGGTGACTGCTACTACTAGTACTTATTATATGTGGGAGAGTCTATTAACATATTGTAATAGGTATGTTCCGGTATAACAGCATTTCTCTTCTATCCTCTATTACTATACGGATCTCTATTTCTCCTCTATTACTATACGGACCGCTATTCTCTACTCTATTTACTATACTATTCGGATCACTATATCGAGCAAGTACTATTAGTGCGAGTGATATTCGAAGGTATCTGACACCGGTGTTGTTCAACGGTGTTACTATAGCTGTATCTGCGATTACAAAGTCTCTACTACAACGAGTATTCTTTGATGTCACAAAAGATTGTAAGATTTTTTTGAGATAATAATGATTTAGGGATAAAGTCTGCTAATTATCCCATAGGTGAGGGAGAAGAGGTGTATTCATACCTTTCCTAAAGGAATTTGTACATAAAAGAATACAACGAAGCCAACTGGAATTGGAAGCCATTATCCATTACACCACCCGAACATCCAAGCTTACAGCACCTGATATTTACAAGCGATCCCCCTTCTAGGTACTGACCAGGCTCGACATTGTTTAACTTCGGGGATTGTACGGGAACCGGTGTTACAACGTTACATGGCCGTAAGCCGATAGCAGTTTATCTTCTTCGTATATCATATAATAATGGCGTATATAAAGTTTCCTTGATTTTCATCCAAAACGGCAGATATATTTCATTTTACTTTCGCCACCCTTAATTCCAGAACAATACCGGATAATGCGATTTGCCGAACCAACCGATGTCACGTTCTAGCAATTCAATAATACACTGACCTACAATTATGCACATCTCATATATATCTACAACGTCATCGACTGTTAAAAACTAATATAAACTATTATTAAATCTAAATCATATGCTAAACCAGTGGTTCCCAACCTCTTTTAGCTCATGGTCCCCTTTGAATCCAGAATTCTGTGGCACATCAAATTATTATAATATAAAAAATTACTTCTATTTTATCGCCTCTAAGCTGTAGCCCATATATTTATCTGGTGGCCCAGTAAAAATTATAAACTTTCTGTAGCCCACCTGAAATTTGCCATGGCCCAATTTGGGCATAGGTTGGGAAACACTGTGTTAAACAGCTGAAAGAGTCTCAAAATCATGGGAATTTCAAATGATTGCTGGTAAGCTCGTCCGGATTAAAAGAGGCGTCCAACCATCAGTACCATAAATTCGGCGACGCGTATGTGTAAGTAAAACATTGAAATTAATTCCGGCGAGGTTCGGTAAGGCATATTACCGGAACAAGACAGGAATTCCGAGGATAAAAGCGTAATGATTGTATATACAAGCAAGCAGAATAATGGTGAAGAATTGTGACTAGTCTTTCTTTCATCTTATTTCTGTTGCTTTTTATCTTAACGCCCAGACTATCATTAACGTCTATAGACAATAAAGACGACAAATTAAGCTAAGGAAAAGTAAAGTGAGGAAGCTGGACACTTCCCAGAGATGAAGAAGAGGCATGAAGCAACCGAAATATTGTTCTACAGAAGGATGCTGAGATTATCATGTACCTAACATAAAAAATGGAAACAATAAGAATATTTATACTTAACAAGAGCAAGTTGAAGTTACTAGGACACATAATGATGAAAGAGGGCTTGGAAAATTTGATACTCATAGGATATATTAACTGCAAAAGGGACAGAAGAAAACAATGCATGACCTACCGAGCGAGTCTGAGTAAATGAAAGAGGGAGCAAGGTTTAGGACAGATAACATCTGTTAAGAGCTACAAAAGACAAGACATTGTGGAGAGCCATTATCGTTAAGGTCCAAAAGAAACACAACGCATAGAAGAGGAGGAAATTTTGCTTAACTCGATAATGCCCAATGTGTTAAAGTATGGACTGTGGCTATTAATAGATTTTAGGTAGAAGAAATTTAAATTTAACCCTATAATAATTGACAATGCTTCATCTAAGAAGGCTAACCAACAGTAGTCATTCAAATTTAGCCATATAGCTATATTCTCTACTTCTACTTCTTATGGATGGCAGTTGCAATAAAAAGCAAGGGAAATGAAGATGAAAGAAATACTAGTGAAAAATGAATAATAGGCTAAGAAAATAGAAGAGGTATAAAGAAGAAAGGAAGGAGAGGTGGAATTAAAAGTGAAACTAGAAAAAGTAGGCATTGGTGTAAGAAAGAGAGAAAGATGAAAAAAGAGGAAAGAGGAGGAAAGCAAATAGGAATGTATTTCTTCATGTAAAATATTTCAATAATATTACACACACATAGACACACATATATATATATATATTTGGATATTTGTTGTTTAGAACGAATAATGTGAAGCTACACCGTTACATATTCGTGTTAAAATGTATTTGAAATATTTCTCTGTTAATAAAAAAAAAGTGACGTAATTGAATAGTATGCATAAGTGATTTTCGTATAAAAGGCTAGCAAGAAACCGTGGCTTATAGTTTGTGAAAGCTTTTTTATCCGGAAGTGGAAGAATCAAAATTCGCAGCATGCATCAAAGTAGGGAGGGGAACGGGAATTGATGACCGACCCGTAATGAAAGATCGATGAATCGTCGTCTTTGCAATCAATAATCAATGTTTGATTCAATCTCGCTGCCCCAAATCTCGCGTGAAATTGGGATCATCTGGAGTTTGCCACGACATTACCCGTTTCGAAACGATGGGCGGCGTAAAGTAAATACAGGAGACAATTCAGAAAATTTCATCTTTTAATGTGTATATATATATATATATATATATATATATATATATCGTAAATGTTTTGGGATCTTATTAAAAAATTATTAGTTACGCGTATACTTGTCCCATTTTTTTTTTTAAATGAGATGCTAAAAGTCAAAACATAGCATCGACACTATATGTACATCTGTCTGCAGGATATTGATTACTGTATTCAGCAAAATCAATGATAACAATTCAATTAAATAACTGTATATATATATATATATATATATATATATATATATATATATATATATATATATATATATATATATATATATATACACATATATATATATTTGTTAAGGATGAAATGAAACTAACATCTTTAATTTAATTACAAAATTAAATTCGAAGCTTTTAGCTTCCATTTTTGAAACATGGTTAGAATTGTGTAGCGAAAAAAAACATATTTTAAATCAATTAATTTATAATATCAATGCTCTGTAAATTTACATTGAGCACTATTTTGTAAAAATAAAAATATCTATAAGAACACCGGATTATATATCTTACTGTTTTTTCTTTATATATATATATATATATATATATATATATATATATATATATATATATATATATATATAGGCAGAAAGTATTCATCCAAACGATTTTGATTAAAAAGAATTTCTTAAGTTTTTATTGTATTTTTCCGATTTTCCGATAAGGTGTTGACTATTATACTCGAAGTTATGCATAAACTGCCCGAAGTTCATATTTTGTTATTTTTGTTTATGTCCTTTTGATTTTCAGTCAACAAGAATCGATAATGACTGCGAAAGTCGAAAGACAATTTATAAACAGATTTATATTTTGATCTAAATGCTTGTTACACAATAAAACCTTGCATTTATCTCGATAATGTCTATCAGAGGACGAAGCGCGTCGGCTAAGTGTTATGGAGTGGTTTCGCAGTGGAGGCTTGTATTTGTACTAAGTCGGTCCTAAAATAGGTTCGACGTACAAAACGTTAGGAACTTGATATAATAGGTATAACGCAGAGTAATCTAGTTGTGGTCGCTGATACTTTCGTATTCGACGAACTGTCGTCCGACATCGACTGACTGACCGACTCCCTGTTTCTATTACTACTCCTCTTAGGTGGGAGAGTCTATTAACTATATAATAGGTGTGTTTCACTCTAACACTAAGATAAATTTTCCTTTTGTCTTTATTCATATTGTCTTTTTGCAGATACATTCTACGTGAAATTTTTACACACCAACAAACACACACACGCACATCGCGTACACATATGCACATACACACGCACATACATACATATATATATATATATATATATATATATATATATATATATATATATATATATATATACATGGTCTATTTGGGCAGTAAATGTTAATTTATACAAGTTCGCTTAAATATCAACGTAAGGTCTTTGTTAATTTTAATTTACTTCTTCGATGTTTCTTCTTATTATTATTATGATATAAAGCAATGTTTAAATTAATATTATAATATTATTAAGATACGAACTTTCATGTGAATGTGCGAAACATGATATTTAAAAATGAACACGCAATATTTGGAGATGAAACTGAACGCATATAATAAAAACAACAAAAAAAAAAAAATGATACTCTTTGATAATGGATAACGCTATCCGAAAGTACTCAGTAATTAGAAGATATTAACCTGAAATCAAAATAAGTAATCAGAAAAATAAAAAAAAATAATAAGGAACCTTCCTTGGTATTTAACAAAACGCTTTCTCACACACATTTGCACAGGCATGCACACACAGATGCAGACACACACGCATATATATATATATATATATATATATATATATATATATATATATATATATATATATATATTACATGAATCATTCATACAAAAAGTATATTAGTAAAGTTAATGATATAAATGGCGAAAAACATCTTCGCAAACAAATTTATTAAAGTTACATTAACCCACGAACCTCTCGATGAATGTTATGATCCTTGTTTTTAATAACTTCAAGTTGTATAAGGTCTTTTTTTATTTTGCTAGTACTTTCTTATCTGTTAATAACACATTTCTAAAAAAACATATTTCGATTAACATTTAATCTTTCGTCCCGCTACTATCAGGATTTACTAAAAAAATAAATTAATTTCTATGTCTGAGGATGGATGTAAGTACAGCTGAAAGTCTTTTTTTAATTTGCTAGTACTTTCAGCTGCACTTACGTACGTACTTTCTTTCTTTCTTTCTTTCTTTCTTTCTTTCTTTCTTTCTTTCTTTCTTTCTTTCTTTCAAATCCATTTCGTTTTTATCACTTTTCTTTTACTCTTTCTTTTTTCTCGTCTAACATTTTTCTTTCTTTCTTTCTTTCTTTCTTTCTTTCTTTCTAATCCATAAAAAGAAGGAAGCGCCGTTGGTGTCCTCTTGGTTAAAGCTTCCCTGAGTGACAAATGCTGACTCTTAATTTAAGTGCGGTACTTTCTGGGAAGGACAAAGACACTCTGGAGGAACACAATTCATATAACATAAGTAATTTGATAACGAATAACTTTTAAAGACAATTAATTTGCGAGAGAAATAATCGGGCGACGTTGTATTCATTAAAAAAGTAACGCAATCATTTCGGACATTCCGTTGGCGCGTTTCCGAACATCGTCGAACTTTCTCTGTTTCTCTCTATCACACACACACACACACACACACACACACACACACACACACACATCCTTCTTTCCTGACAGGACATATTGCATTCATTCGGACTCCTGTCTTGGTGCAATGGTAAATACTTTCATCTTGAAGGCAAAGGGGTTCCACTTTTGTGGCTTAACGCTAGGCTATGTGTAATACTTATAAATTTGCTGACGCTTATACAGGACCACAGACAAATAC